CAGATTTTTCTTTTTGTCCCGGTTTGTATCTTGCTATTGGGGTCTCCAGCTGGGCTAATATATATATATATATTCACACAACTACATTCAGTTTATTGAACCACGATGCTGGCAGAATGGGGTCTTGGAAACGAAGTAGGCAAAACTCATCAAAGCTCTGATCCAATGATCTACACACGTGGTCATGATTTCGCAGGAAAAGAAGCGAAACGGTTCGAAATCTGAGTGTCACTTGTCAGGTTATGTATCTCTTTATGGTTTGGTCAGCTATGCAGATGTATTCTAATCACAGCTAAGGGAAGGATGAGAAGGGCACCTCGGCCCATGCTCAGGCGATGGGTGCGCGTGCGCCCCGCGATTCTACATCGTGCAGAAGAGTGGCTGAATGAGCACTCAGAGGTGTGATGTGCCCAGTATTCTTGTGTTTTGGAAGAAACCCAGATCAATTCAACAAGAAACATAAGAATGGTTCACTATAGTTCACTTTGTCCAATTTGTGCACAAGAACAAACAAGCAGGGCCAGAATTCTACGTACCAAATGGTTTGAAGATTGAGCATAGGTATTATATATGGAATGGTTTACGCTGCCAAGACATGGTTAATTCTCGGAACATGAACATGCAGGCCCACTTATGCTTCTACTCGTAGAAGGATATGCCCACTTTAGAAGTTAGAATAACTACATTCCGATATCATATGACGTCTGCTGTATTTTTGGTATTTGCTTTGTTTTTCACCGTGTCGGAAGGCAGCAGGGGTCCAGTATGGTGATATGTGTCTCATTTCCCTTCGTTTTCTTTTGGTTGTCTTGCTCAGACTCCATCAGGGTGGCCGCCGATTGGCAGTGCATCTCCGTCGCACGGACAAGTTGGAGCAATGCAGGCCAGAGTACAGTCATGAGTCATGGTGTTTGTGGCCTGACTGAGTCAATGAGAGGATGCATACAAGGCATTCAAAGCTGACAAGCATCTCAAAGGCGCCTCAGACGGCAGCCATTCGCTCATAAACTTCGATGCTTTTGGCCCTGAGAAAACACTAAGAGCTACATCTAAGAGCTACACTCGAACCACTTGAACGAAGCGCTGCTTTGCTTCACATTTGAGTTCAACCATCGCTGAGCTAGGAAACAACCAAGAGCAGCACCTATTCTATTCTGATTCTAATCAAAAAGCCTTTTTGCAACCTTTGCATACCATCATATACCATCGGCCAATCGCAGCGGGCAACTGCTTGACTGGTTTGTTCTTCCTACTTCGTCAGCAGCCATGGGTTGTGGTGGCAGTGTGGCTGCCGCGGAAACTGTTACAAGAAATTCTGGCGAATTGCCATACTGGCCACTGGAGGAGAAAACCTTGGCGAGTTGCCTTGTCGGACCAGACAGTTTTTTGGAGCTGACATTGCATATTCAGAGTCGTTTAGTTGGAGCCCAAACTGGTCATTCGGGTCTTCCTACCACCTTTGTACTTCAGTATTCAGAAGGACAGTTGTCATATGTTGTCACCGTTTTCATGCACTTTTGATGAGCAGTCATTGAATTGAATACATGCGCGATGTGTACCCAGCGATGCTGCATTTTCTTAGGATGCTGATGGGGAGCCATGGAAGCTAATGAGTAGATGATGAATAAGGTTGCTACTTACCATAGCTACTTGTCACGGGTTGTAGGGTGTAGTGCTCAAGGTACATAGAACGAGATTGTCATGTTTCAGTGTCAATAGCTCAATCAATCGCCTTGATTATGGTCTTTCGGGCTAACGTTTAGCTGTCTTCCGTTACTTTTGTTCCTTCATTTTGTGAGGAGCCGGAGCTATCTCGAGATATATCCACCCAGGAACGTTTAAACAAGCTGCTTGCAAACAGGCGCGGTGGAGAGATCAATCAAGTGCCATGCCGCCAGATCCGCCAAGACAGCATTTCTTTTCAACGTTAGAGCCACCGCAACTAAGACACAGATTCAAACACTCCATCGGTGTTACCTCTTTACATCGAGGCCACAGATGCTTTTTACATTGCTTTCGGTTTTGAAGTCATCGTGGCAGCTCACCGCTGAGGCCTTACTTGGAGTCGGAGGATCACTTCTTGAACTCCTTTGTGTGCAGATGTCGCGAGGCGATCAAGGCCCAGACGAACGGCGCCGAGGCGCATGATGCCTTGGACCACTTGGCGCTTGGATTGGCCAGTGACTTGTCATATCTTAAAGTGAAGGACACGGACATGGAATATATAATGGATGCAACGAATTTCGGATGTAGCTGATGTAGCTCGATGATGGGTCTCAGAGAAGGGACTCGTAGCCCACACCGCAACAAGTTGAAGGAGTGTTAGTGTTGAAGGGTATGTGAGCATATGAAAAGATTGCGTCCCAAGTCTTAGGCTGCATCCAGTTTACGAATTCCCGCTTGAGTTGCACGGGGTGTTTGCCCGTATGGGCATGATGACCAGATTTCGAAGAGCTTCATTCCTTGAGTCCCAGGATAAGATCTAGGGGAGCCATCTCCAAAATGGAAGAACAAATGTAAAAACCGTCCGATCATGTCCGATCTGTTTCAGCTGCTACCAATGAAAAGACACGATTAAATAGATTGACACACTTCTTGCAACTAGGATCAACTATGTAGGTCCAAAAGACGATGTGGACTTACTGATCTACACAAGTCAGGACTTCCAAGTGTAGTTTTACTAGGCGATCAAGGCGTTTCTTGGTACTTATCAGAGATTTCTGGACTTTATTGTTTGAGGTGAAGAACGACTTGCATACGGAGCCTTTGCCCGATTTGACAAGAATCGGAACCATTTCTTGCAAGGCATCGAGATTGAGTCTTGCACAAGCTCAGTTTTTTTGTTGTTTGACTCTTCGTTTCTCCTCCGCAACCAATATAAATGCTGTGAGACTAGATTTGTGGCTCTGGTGATTCCACTGGTGATGTCAAGATCTTGACAATTTAATATAACATAGGGCGATCAATGCAGTTATATACTGTAATATAAACAAGGATGCCTGTTCCACCTATACAAGAACTGGTAGCAGAGGACAAGGCAATGATGCACAGTGGGAGTTCTCAAGGCCCTCACTGGAATGTTGGACTTCCAAAGCCATCTAAGTTTTGTTAAACACAAAGTGGTGGTTCATCATTGCCAAGAGTACTGTTCATATGAGATTCTGTTGTTTGCAATATAGTTTGCAACCTCAGGAGTACATGCTGGACTACTTGGGATTCCCCCACCAGCAAGAAGACGTTCAAAGATTTGTTGCGGCCGTTGACAAACTGGAAACCGATGGAAAGATCTCACCAGACGAATTCTTGAAGGTCGTTGGCTCTTTCGGCGGTTGCTGCAAGCTGTTTGAGATGCGCCAGCTAAGCTTTGATGCAACAGATTTTACAGCTTCACCTCTCCCAGAAACTATGTCAAGGGCCACCCGTTAGGGGCTTTTCTTTGCTTTCCTGACTGGCCAGAACTTGTCTTGCCAATTTGCATGACTGTTAAGTCCTGTAGAGCTGAGATTTTCGGACGTTCGCGACTTTTGAATCGAAAACAAATCGAAGACAGCTTGTGAGGTCGAAAACAAATCGAAGCACGCGGTACTGAATTGGAAGTGCCCGAAGATGTGAAAGAGAGCGACTTGCGATGCTCGGTGGCGTAGCGGGTCCATGCCTTCTCCCCTGATCTTTCGTGTTCCGAGATGTTCCTAGCTTTGTGGCTTGGAAAGAACACAAAACATTTGGGAAGGCGACAAATGACAAGTTGTAGCTTCTCTGGACTTCTTCCTGATGCTTTTTTGGCAATGTGAACCAACCTCAACTCGGGATAGACAGCCAGACTCCAAGCAGACACTTGTGGCGTTGCACCTGTGGGCTCATGGTGCTATGGCCAGTGCCTCTCCTGAGCTTAGGATGTCAATTGCTTTCCTGTGGCATTTTGGACGATGAGCTGGCAACGTGGAAGCCAGTGGTCAGTTCTGCAGTCTCTTGCCCAACCATGGGCTAAGTGTGCACTTTGCTTTTTAGAAGCCATTGAATTGGCCTAAAGACTCAGGACAAAACATCTCGGTTCGAATCGGTTAGAGCTTTGTTCGAGGACATGAAGGCTACAGCCAGCTTGCAACCTTGCCAAATGGAAGCACTGCAGCACGTGCGGAACTTGGCCCGGATCAACCACGAGAAGGCGCAGCTTGGAAGCAGGCCGCAAGACCAATGCCAAGGGGAAGGTGAGCTTCTCACAGAGAATGGGGAGACATGTTGAGGAAACGCAACGTGGAAACCATGTTGTCCTAGCCATATAGAGATTAGACATGATTAGAATCATAAAATCAATCAATCTTCAACTCGCTCGATGGGCTATACATATTTAAATGTTCAGTGCCACCTCTTCGGATTTGAGCACCAACTGATTTGATTCTACTGCCCAGGCTTCCTGAGCTCACAGAGAAGTTCCAATCAATGGGTTACAATGTGCAAGATATGTGGAGACTCGATGAACGTTCTGTTGTTTGACGAGATTGTTTCTAACGCGCTGGCCAGCAACATTATATAAAAGAACCGGTATGAATTGGTCATTCATTTTGTGCTTGCCTTTGAAGAGTTGCATGCTTGTCCTTTGACACCAGTATTTTTGTTGCTCGTTGTGGCATGGTTCTCTTGAACACGAACACCTGTAGGATGACTTTGGCTTGGATCCGCGAGCTGGCACCAATCATCATCCACATCAACCTGCCGGCTATCGGAGATTTTTTGGCGTATCTAAGCTCTACAGACTAGGGACCACCCTGTCAATTGATGGCCAAGACTCGACAAAAGGGTGAGCTTGGTTGCCATGGCATGCTAAGGAGGGACAGCCACTACAGGAATCAGTTTGAGACCCAGAACTCGGGTGGCCTGCTGGACGCTTGGCTATGCTAGACCGCTGCTCAGGCTCACTTGTATCTACAGGCTACATTCCCTAGATGCAAAAATATTTGGAACAGATAACTTGTGAATCAAACAAACATACATTGTACGTTTGAAGTTCTTGCTGATGGTTTGGTACCTTTGGCCCAAGGACTTGAATGTTCGCAACAGTTGGGAAGGATCCTTGTTCGGGCGTGCTTACGAGGTTGGGGTCTGTCGACGACTTTTGTTCTAATTATTGCTTCAGTACGGTCTTTGAGCAAATCTAGCAAATGTGGATTGACATTTGGAACACAGGTGCTTGAGGGTTCAAGACTTTTCACGAAAGCTAGCACCAGCTAGCTGGAGTTGTCCTTGCTTCAGCAAGTGAGGGGCTGGAATCCTCGAGATCGCCGCATCACGTGAAAACTTCATATGTAGGGGGG